TTATAGCTATCGACATATAGATATATTTCACACATATATTTATGGATGTATTATGAATGAAATATACTCCTTTTTCTCTTTCTTTTATCTGCCATTATATTAAAAACTGCATTTTGCTCCATCTACCCTTGTTCTCTGGAGCATAGTATTACTGATACTTTGACAGGGAATGATTGAATGCATAACAGCTGTAATTTTTGAGTAAATATAAAAAATTAAGTATGTAGACATGACGGTGTGGGAATAAATATCACTGAAAGAGCTGAGAGCATCAACAAACTCATTGCCTTTCATCCTTTTTCATCCGAGGCCTGTGAAATATTTGTGTATGAATTGCATATTATTTATTGACTGAAAAGGGAATAGTTGTTCAAATTGTGACTTGGAGGTATTTGTATTGATACATTAATCTCTTTGCATGTGCATGTTGATTTTTTTTAAATCAGTAATTTGTTCATACATTTAACTGTCTTTAAAAAATAATAGAGCCCTGCTTCACTTGCTTAAATTGTTCTTCCCACCTTACATACCGATTCACATACTTTGCCTCCTTGGCCCCAGTATCCATCTTCTTTTCCCTAGTCTGGCAAGGAGAAAAAAAATGAAATAACTGTTGTTCTTGCTTTCCCTAAAACAGGAAAGGTTTCGTAGGTTTGTTCTTAAGTTGAGTTTGTATGTAAGTTGAAAAAGAGTTCTGGATAACATAGAGAAGGGTTAACATTCCAGAGACATTTGTTTTGCAATCTGTTCCCCTGTTGAGAAGATATTCTGTCCTAGTGATAATTGGATTTTGAAAAAATTGACTTGGTGTGGAAACAAGGATTGGTGAGACAGCTTTTTCCCATGATAACTCTTTCAGGAGTGAAATTCTCCTTCCTAGGAGGAGATTTCTACACTTCCTGTTGCCTCACCTTGTTCTTCACTTGGAGTCATTTATAAGTCTGATGTTTGTATTTTATGTGTGTTACCTTGGAAAAATGTATATGTTGATGGATAAAATATAAAAAATACTATTTGCCTCGCTTCTACCTCCATTGTACTGTTCCTGAAACAGAGGCATTTCCTTCATAGTTGTAGGAAAGGGATGCTTTCTTCTCCAATAGCTTTAAATACAAAACTGAAAACAGCAGAACATACTTTCTGAAGGGAATGTTTAAATTTGTTATCACCTTGAAAATTGTGGAAAGAGTAGGCAACTTATGTTTTGCACATCACCAGCATCCAAAAAGCAGCTCTGATTTTAAATTGCTGTTGGGTCCTGCTTCTGAAGGATTTTTTTCTCTCCCCTTTTTGTGTCTAGCCCTCAATGAAAGGAACTGGGAATTTAACACACTGCCTTTAGAACCCAACCCTCTTTTTGAAAACTCTTTTCCCTGTGTCTCCTGGAATATAAGAACAGCACAGTACAATCCCTGTATCTCCAGGACTAATACCCACAGTTTCATGTACCCACATATGAAAAAGTATGCTCTCCCTAGGCATTTTCCAGATCCCACAGCTGATTCTATGGTACTTTTCAGCTGGAGTTTGACCATAGAGTTGCAGTGAAGAATGTAGAAATGTTATAGAGGTGTATTTCAAACATTTGTTGATCTTCCAATGTGATTCTATATTATGTTTCTGCTGGAAGTCACTCATTTCAATAGGGTTCACTATTATCCACTGTTTCACATTTTCATGATAAGTCCAGAAATGTGTGCCCAGTAGATATAGGGTTGTAGAGTACATTGGTGTACACTCTTCTGAATGCAACAGAGTGACAAGCTTCACTGAAATCTAAAGGGACAGGATTGTTTTTGAAATAATAAGATAACTTGGATTTTATCTGTTTGCTTCAGGGCATTACCACAGGTGATAAGGCAATCAATTGTTTATAACCCTGAGCTTTAATACATAACATCTTGTGATCAGATATAGCAGCATAGTTGTAGGCAGTACTAGATTTCCAGCAATCAAATCCAGAAATATACAGATAGTTTTCTAAAGCAATTTAATGTCCATCTGGTATGCCATGGGGAAATTCTGAAACTCTGCTTAGTTGTTAGCAATTTCATTACCAGTAGCCTTATTCTTTTCTGTCCCTCTGCTTTTGCTGTAATCTTGCTCAGCAGCACAAGAGCCTTGAGTCTCATTCATGGGAGAAAGGTGGGATATAAATTGAATGAATAAATGAATGAATAAAGAGCTGTGCCATGGTCTTCATTAAGTACATTCTTATGCAGGATGATGGGGCTTTTTTCAATTTTTTTTTAAAAAAAACTTGGATTTCACAAGTAATTTTTTACTCAATATCTGCATGCTCAGATGGCTGGAGTCAAAGAATTCATGAAGGCTGTGTTTATCACTGGCTGTTCAGCCATGATGTCTAAATTAGATGTATATCCCAATGGCCGTAATATATGTACAAGTGACAGCCATTGCATCACGTTTATATTTTATTTTCTTCAAGCAGCCTTTGGCTGGTCACTTGGGGAAACCCATACTTGATCAGACTAGAACCCCAGTCTAGTCAAGAAAGGCATTTCTATTAATACTGTATATGCTCATGTATAAGTTAACTTTATGTTTAAGTTGAGGGCAGGTTTAAGGCCCTTTAACATTTTTATATGACCCATGGATAGATCAATGGTCATTCTGTGGGGAGGGGAAAGCATCAATTTCACATCATGGAGCCAGCTGTCCCTGGTCACTCCCACTATTTCCCTACCAAGGCAATAAAAAATGCCAGAACTAGTTCCACGATTGAGAAAGTAGATTAAAAATGCTTTTTTATTTAATTTTTTTCTGGGAGAGACTTAGCTCTTTCCTTTTACCACTCTCTTCAGAGAAAGGGATGACTCCTTTTTTGACAAGAGTTAAGGTACAGTACTGAAATTGACCCATGGATAAGTCAATCTAGGGTTTTTGGGTTTTTTTGTAATGAAAATTTCTAGACTTATGAATATATAGGGTAATTGTTTTAGGACTGGTCCAGTAGGGATGGACTGGATGAAACACAAATCTATCTCATATCTAACAGCTTCAATTGTGTGTAAAATCTTGATGGAAATCTCTTTCCCTTTTAACAACAGAAAGAGGAAATAACTATTTATACATTTATTGGAAGACTAGGGAGAAAACCCATTATATTCAGGATTTTTTTGCTGTCCATGTCTTAAATCCAGGAGCTAACCTGCAAAGGCTTTGGTATCCTCCCAGCTTTTAGTATCACTTGCACCTTTTCAGTTGAAAGAGGGCAGTTTTGTTAATCCGAATACCCTAGTTGGAATTTCTGATACCATTTTAATTTAGAGAAAAGGCTAGTGTGTAATTAAAAACTCTATCATATTGAATACGCCCAAGGGGAACAGATAGAGGTTGTGTAGGTAACCATTAATTAGGATATCTGAACTTCTGGTTTCCTGATCTAGTAATTTTTCTTTCTTTTTTAATGTATGAGATTTGACTAAAAAGAACGTGTTATTACTGAAAGGCTGTTAAGCCAAGAATAGTATTGAGACTTGGAGCTTGTACAGGTATTCCTGATCATTTTTCTTCAGAGCCTTTTAGGTACAATGAATTGAATTACTGGGATAAAGTGGTTGCAGAGAATTAATATTCACTGAATCTGTACATATTGTTAACAATTGTGCCAGTTAGATAATTTAAAAAAATTGCATAAGGATACAACACAGGGAAACGAGCAAATTGACAGCTATAGCAAGACAGACAGACTTCTGCTTGTCTGGACATCTGGTAATCATAAGGGCCAGATCTCAACTTTGAGAATGTAATTGTACATTTGTTAGCTTATGATGGCAGGCATTTTTGCATACCTTTCCTTTGTGTCTTCCATTGTTTTAATACTACATGTAAAGCCATTGAACATTTGGCTCTATTTGTTCAATTATGCAGAATCTTTTTCTTCTTTTCAACAAAAGACTTTCTTTCCTAAGACCACCTTTCAATTTTTATGTTCCAAAGCTATATTACAGGACACCTAAAGCAAAAATGAATACAGAAAGTAAATGGTTCCTATTTTTATTTTAGCTAGTTATGGGGATGCCACTAGTACAAGACAGGCTTCACCCCATCTTCTTAGCCACAGATAAGATAAAAAAAGATTGCTGTATACACCTTATCAGTTAAATTACTGTCATTACATTAACTGCAATAGCATAAGCAGGAGGAAAACCAGGAAAGTGTACCATTCCTTTTGACTACATGCAGTTGAGTTGCATGACCAAACAGCAAGAAAATACTGTACAGGATGGTTCGAGAAAGTAATCTACTTTCAGGCCACACAAAAGTGACAAATATCCTAACATAGAGGTGCATTTAATCAGATATGTCAATAGTCTTTACTTTGAGATAAGTTTTGTTGTTTGGAAGGATGTTGTAAACTTCTACAAAAGTATGGTGGCCCAGTTTCTCTGCTGTTCAGCTCAAGGAGCCTAACTCTTTCTCCTGTGCCTTTTCTTTCCATATGTGACATTTTTGTATTCAAGACAGGCACTTTGCACCTTTAATGATCATCATGTCATAAGCTGCTTCCACTTCTTTTCTTATCAGGCTTGCAATTAATATCTAATTGGATTTTGCAAAGCCATTCATTGTAATATCATACACAGGGGAGTGGGCTTAATTAAAATAAGCACAACATTCGTTTTATCTAAATTTCAGTTCTTCTTTGCAATTAATTGACTAAATCCTGAATGGTCAGTAGCTAATGTTCTGTAAAATTCATATTATGTGCAATATCATTTCATCTATCTATCATTGAAAAGTGCTAGATGTTTTATAGCAATTATTTTTAGATTGGTTGTGGGGGGATTATTGTGGCAAAAGTCTTTGAGAAGGCAAACTTTTTTTTCTTATTATTAACTGAATGAAAATTTAAGCTTTATGTTTCTGGTCATCCTGTTTTAGCAATGCATTTAAGGAGGATTTGGTTGAATAAATAATAATATAAACCGATTCAGTTAATAACAATGTCTTTTTTTTTCTGTTTCTTCTCGCAGAAAGAGCTATTGCAAAACATGAAGTCCGAGAAATTGAGCAACGTCATACAGTAGATAGCTCTCGATCAGATGTAGTTCCAGATGAAGATGAAAATGTGGTGATAATTTATAATCGAGTACCTAAAACTGCAAGCACCTCTTTTACAAACATTGCTTATGACCTTTGTGCGCGGAACAAATACCATGTTCTTCATATCAACACAACCAAAAATAATCCTGTTATGTCTTTACAAGATCAGGTAGGTTATGTCCATTAAAATCTAATTTAATTTTAAAGGGTGTGTTTTACAGAGAGCAACACAATACTTTTTCCAATAAAAGTGTTTGTTTAGAACAAAAAGGGTGGTTCTACATGGACACTTTATCCTGGGACAGATAATCCTTAGGATGGTTTTGACTGCCAAACTCCGGGCAGCTATGGAGATGGGAAGAAATCCTGACTATCTCTCCCATTCCTATTGTAGCAGTGGCCACTGAATATGACATGGCTAGGTAGTGTCCCTTGCTTGTTGCCTGGAGTGATGTTGGCCGAGTCACCAGAGCAAGTTGGGAAAGGGGAGGGGGAGAGGAGAAACCATCACCTCTTTCCTCCCTCCCTCATCAGATCATTCTTGTGCCCCAGCCAACATCACTCCGGGCAATAAGCAGTGGACACGAGCCATGTTTCATAAGGTGGTCACTCCAGTGATGGGAATGGAAGGGAGACAGTCAGGATTCCTTTCCAGCAATGAGAACAGTTTAAGGACAGTACTGTCTTGTGCCCCTGGGCTGCCCAAGCCCAGGACATACTGGATTGCTGTGTAAACAGTTGTCACTGGCTCCATCTTAGAATTGGCCCAACTGCTCAAAGTCATGGTTAGCTGTGGATTTTTGGGGAACATTCAGAACAACTTGTGACTTTTTCCAACATAGTTCAAAGCCACCCACCACTTTCAGCTGCCATTCTGCTGGCCAATCAATGGAAGGGAGACAGCCAGCTAGACACAGCAACACTTTGTCTTATGTAATATTTATGTAATCATTATTGATCTTATGTACATTGTAAGCTTGAGGGCAAATTAACATTTTATGAACTACTCTGTGTCTTTGTAGCTGAGGAGTCAGGTAACAATTATCTAAATAAAATAAAAATAAAATAAACACAAATCAGCCCCGAGCATCATGCAGCCAGCTCAGAGTTGATTCCCCCCTCCCCTTCAGGAGAAAGGGTCAGTGTAGATGTGTGTTCATGCGTAGCCCTTAAAACAGAGCAAAAATGTATAGATCTCCTTGAGTTTGAAATTAAACTTGTATAAAATACATAATATATATGTTGAATTGCTGTAAAGAAAATCTTGAATGATCTGTAAAGCAAAGCATAGCTTGAATAATCATGTTCAGTTTTCAAATATTTGCTGTTACAGTAAATGTAAAATAGTACTTCATCCCTGTTGATCAGTAACAAAATTTTGGATTTCATTAAGTTTGCATCTCCTTTGCTGTTCATATTCACCCTAAAGTAATTTCTCTTTGGGTTTTTATTGCTATTCTTTAGCTCTCTTGCTTCACTCCAGAAGTCTGCCACCAAAATCAATAATTTAATTTGTTTTTCTCTTAGTTTTCCTCCCTATCAATGTCCGGTTCCCTTGAAGGTGACATGTCCTTTTTTATTTTATACAGCATTTGCAACGCTTACTAAATATTTACTACTAGTTTTTTGTCTCTGTTCTTCTGATTGATAGAGACACAGAGAAGTGCTCTACTTTAGGGGACACTGCCTGCATTTATGTTATTTGTTTAATCTAGTTATATCTCATGCTTTGAATCCCCAAATATTTCAAGGGCAACTACACTGATCTCCAGGAATATTTTCGAAAATAATTTACCCATATAGCTTTCAAGACATGTCAATTCCACATAATATATTCTCAAATACTGTCCCGTGCCCTGTGATCCATTTACCAAGAATTCTGTAATTGGTAACCCATTTTATTTTATATCTATAGAGCATATTTCTCCAAGTTTTGCTGAGCCCATAAAGGTCTGTCTCATTGGTTTTCTTTGGTCCTTAGAAAAATGTGGAAACTCCCAGCTGCCAAGAACTCTGAGATCTTTATATGATTCATTTTTTACTTTTCCCTTGCAGGATTTCTTGTTCTCCACCAGAGTACATTTGATCTCTCCTTCAATTCTGCAGAGCTCATCTAAGCTTAAAACATAAACAGCTTTCATATACCAGAAGTTCAAAAATAGCTTTTCAGTTATTTTTCTAAAAGTGTTGGAGAGAAAAAACTAACACAGAAACCTGTTCACATTTTTGGGCTTTCTGAGTTAAATTCCAGAGATTATCTTCAGCTTGAAGAACTAAATGATAGTCTCTTTTCTAAAAAATATGTGGAAATTGATGTACAGTAGTAAGTTATCACAACAATATTCACAAGACTAAACAAGTCCTGTGAATAATTTATTGTATTTATTAATTATTTATCATAAATTTATCATAAATGTCAGAAGCGAATTGAGAATATAGTTATAATGTATAGAAAAACCACAAATAAAGTTAAAAACTTGGCATTATACTAAATTTCTTTGATAAGAAGGTGGCCACTTGGAGTGCCCCTGGTGTCACTGTAAGAAGGTCCTCCATTGTGCATGTTGCAGGACTCAGGCTGCATTGTAGTAAGTGGTCTGTGGTTTGCTCTTCTCCACACTCACATGTCATGGACTCCACTTTATGCCCCATTTCTTAAGGTTAGCTCTGGATCTCATGGTGCCAGAGCGCAGTCTGTTCAGCACCTTCCAAGTTGCCCAGTCTTCTGTGTGCCCAGGGGGGAGTTTCTCATCCGGTATCAGCCACTGATTGAGATTCTGGGATCCTGCCACTTTTGGACTCTCACTTGCTCTCGTTTATTGTATTGATTAATAATTAATATATTCTGTTAGCATCTTTCACAAAAAGTCTTGTTCATCAAATGAAGCAGTATCGAGTTAAACGGTACTCCTTGTCTTGATGTGAGATAAAAGTCAAAACACTGATGCTAAAATTATGAGTAGATGACTCCCACAACTTAAATACTATGGATTATCACAGCAGGAAATGTGAAGACAGCTTTTCCTTAATTAAATAGGAGAAAATTCTAGAAAAATAGGGGCAGTTTCATATTTTTTGCTCAGTTCACTTTCCTTAGACCTTTCTTCCACCATGTATAAGTCACTTGGGGAATGAGTGATAAATGTAAAGCAAAACATCCTTATAAAATAAGCATTAGTATCTGCAGTTTTCATACTTATAATGTGATTACATTTGAGGAGTTTGAGCCCACTGTACTTTATTTTTGATCAAGCACACATGATTGGCTGTCATCCTTGAGCTATTTCTCATCATTATTGTGCTTCAGTTTTCTTTTTTTCAGAATTAGAATTCCTTTTCACAAATTCCCATGCAATAAGAATGTATCAGCTCTTCCTTTTTAATTCGTATTTATGACAAATTAAAAGCCTTGTAGCTCTACTGTTAAGATGTATAGGTGAATTTTAAGTATTTTGAGGATGTACTCTATTCATTCTCTACTTATGGCCTACTGAGTAAGCTTTTCCTGATGTATTTGTTTGGCAGACTAAAAGGTTATCTTGTCTCACAGCGACAGATTGGAACTAGTGAAAATTGACAGGAGAATTGAAATGTGGCATTGGGTTTAAGTAAGGTTTTCTTTCTGAAGGCTGTCACCTAGCATTACATCATTATATACATTGTCCTAACATGTCAGAAACTCAAGCTGAAATATGTCAATGGCTTACTGTGATTTACATTCAGATCCCAGCTACTCTGCCACAATGAATCAATTGATTATTGCTGTTACAAAATACTATTTGCCTCTAATTTAACTGGTAACTTTCTCCTTTTTCTTGAATATCACATCTGAAACCAACAACAACAACAAAATCTATGTTTAGAATATTAATTTAATTCCATCTCTCCCCAGCTTGGGTTTCCATTTCTCTTTTGATAGGCAACATGTTTAGCTGTTGATTTTATCGTCCCCCCTCATGTTTGCTCTTATCAACTTGTATGCAGAACACATCATGCGATGTGCGGGGCTTGACAAATGTAAAACTGGGGTTAAAATTACTGGAAGAAACATTAGCAACCTTAGATACGCAGATGATACCACTTTGATTGCCGAAAGCGAGGAGGAGCTGAGGAGCCTTCTAATCAAGGTGAAAGAAGAAAGTGCAAAATCTGGGTTGCAGCTAAACAATAAAAAACCCAAGATTCTGGCTACCGGACTGATTCATAACTGGCAACTAGGGGGAGAAAACGTCTAGGCAGTGACAGACTTTGTATTTCTAGGTGCAAAGATTACTGCAGATGCAGACTGCAGCCAGGAAATCAGAAGACGTTTACTTCTTGCGAGGAGAGCAGTGATGAACCTTTATGAAATAGTGAAGAGTAGACACATCACACTGGCAACGAAGATCCGCATAGTTAAAACAATGGTATTCCCCATAGTCACGTACAGATGTGAGAGCTGGACCATAAGGAAGGCTGAGCGAAGGAAGAGATGCTTTTGAACTGTGGTGTTGGAGGAAAATTCTGAGAGTGCCTTGGATCGCGAGAAGATCCAATCCCTCCATATTTCAGGAAATAAAGGACCAACTGTCAATTGGAGGGAAAGATATTAGAGGCAAAGATGAAGTACTTTGGCCATATCATGAGAAGACGGGAAAGCTTGGAGAAGACAATGATGCTGGGAAAAATGGAAGGAAAAGGGAAGAGGGGCCAACCAAGTGCAAGATGGATGGATGGTATCCTTGAAGTGACTGGCTTGACTCTGAAGGAGCTGGGGATGGTGATGGCCAACAGGAAGCTCTGACGTGGGCTGGTCCATGAGGTCACGAAGAGTTGGAAGCGACTGAACGAATAAACAACATCAAACCCATGTTTATTCAGTCTTGTTTATCTGTTTCCGTACTCTTCCAAACCCCATTCTTCTCTGATCAAACTTATGCCACCCACTTTTGGGTATTGTATGAAATTGGGCCTCTTCTATACTTGATGTCATGTGCCACTTGAATGCGCTGTTAACCAGAGCAATATCAACATCTTAACAGCAAAAAACACTCCCCATTTTTAAACAACTTGTTTTTACAAGTAAGATCCCATGTATCAATAGAATATTGGCCAGAGTAAGCTCTTTCATAAAAGTACAAGATTCATCTTATTGCAAATGCACTAAATTCACTTTGGTTAATAGCTAAGACCATCTTGTCAGCGGAAAAAATGAAATACAGTAACTCACATTAAACTTCAGAGTACATCCCACAATGGACTCCTTCCTGTTTTTCTTTTTTCTTTTGCTGTGTACATAATGGAGCCTAGGAAGCGTATTTACATTTATCCATCTATTACTTTCAAATCCATACCATAGAATTACCATTCTGCATTAATTTGAATATAGGATTCCTTAGTTGTCTGCTGAACAGTGCAATGAGAACTTTCTGCTTTAACTGATGAAAAGGTCATATGTCTTTTATATGTTGTAATATTGTACCAGATGCCCCAGACCCTCTCACCCCACAAAAAAGGCATAAAAATAGGCAATTTGCCCCAAAGTCTCCCCAGAGTATATTTAGCCACATAAAAGCTTCCTCCCAAGTTTCCACTATGTACCAATTTGCCTTCTTTCAAAACAGTAAATGACTTTTCAGTGACTTTCAGTTTTGAAAAAAGAGGAGGTTGCATCCAAAAATAGGAGTATTTGGTTTCAATTAGTGACTCCTTACTCCTTCAATACTAACATCTATCCTAGTATGTTTCATTTTTTATGTGCCATGTTGTACCACTTTCCACAATGATGGTGATAACTCATATTTCTCATAAAATTTAGTGAAAAATCTTTTCCTGTACTACCTGGTTAAGTGCTTAATACTTTAAGATTGCACAAGCCTTAGATGTTTCATTTGTGATACACTTTCTTGGCAACATTTACTTATTCTCAAAGCACCAGTCTTTATATAGCCTAAGCAGTATCTTGCATGCTCAAGAAGGAGCTATTGGCAGGCTTGAGGAAAATGACATTTGCTGAACAACAATACTAAAAACAGGACTAAGCGTGCTCAGCAGTTTCAGAACATTGACTGGCTGCGGGAGATGCATTTGAATGTCTGAAAATCTAAACTCTCCAAACTGCAGTGGTTAGGACTGTTTCCACTGAATATAATAAAGCTTCTTAAATCTGTCTAAGACAGTGGTTCTCAACCTGTGGGTTCCCAGATGTTTTGGCCTTCAACTCCCAGAATTCCTAACAGCTGATAAATTGGCTGGGATTTCTGGGAGTTGTAGGCCATCTGGGGACCCACAGGTTGAGAACCACTGGCCTAAGAGTTCATGGCCTTAAACCTGAATGAGCAGCTTCTAAAGGTTCAGGGCCCCATTTTCTACCCCCAGGTCTCACCAGTGGTGATAGTAGCAATAGTTGCCTTCAGTCCTGAAAGTATCGTGAAGGAATTACTGGTTTTGGTAACTCTACAGAAGTTAAAAAAGGAATTATTGGATGTTCATGAGCTTCAGATTTTGAGAGGATTATGGTCAAATGTGGTCTTATAAATATTTCCAGACTGCATGTCCCAGCATCCCCCAATTGACTGTGCTAGCTAGATGCAGTGGGTTACGGTTTGTCAACAGTTGGAGGGACTGTAGTTGCTCATTTTGATTCAAAGCAGTCTGAACTATTGAGGAAACACTTCTTTCAATTTGAAGCATCATTTTAGATAATGTCAAAGACTCAGCATTAGAGACATATTCAGTAAGTTGAGCTTGTCTACTCACTATGTTGCATCTCTTAGTAGAAGCTTCTTTTATTTAATTGCAAATACGCGATTTTGTTTAAAGTTGGTTAAATATTGCATTCCCACCCATCCCTATTCTTTCAGGTACGATTTGTGAAGAACGTAACTTCCTGGAAAGAGATGAAGCCAGGGTTCTATCATGGACATATATCTTTCCTGGATTTTGCAAAGTAAGCTACTAAACAAACTATTATTAAGCAATTTGAGTAAGATGTTTCTGTGTATAATGTGTACATGTACATATATGTGTTCGTGTGTGTTTGTCTGCATATATCTGTAGGTACAGGATAGCCAAAAGTCATAGAAGAATTTCAATATTTAATAGCTCCTTAATTTTTTGTTTTTAATTTTCAATACCATAACATCATATACAGTATATATATATAGGAAATAAATGTACATTTATGGGTGAAAAATCAGATCTTGTAAATGGCACCAAATGCCATAGCATCATATATACCAGTAGTGACTTTTGGCCCATCCTGTATATAGATATGTATAGATAGATAAATATTCCTTGTCCTCCATCTGTTTATAGTTCATATCACTGACTCAGTTTAGATTTTGGTGACCTCTAATGGTCAGGATTAGATATTACACTGTATGAAATTAAGTGTTTTGGTTTTTCTTTACTCTGCTTTAATATAATTCTATATCCCCCTATGGACTTCTAATTCAAGCAGTCCATTTTCTGCAGTTTCCTTTCCTTTCAGCGTGTTTTGATGACTGAAACCTAAGAAACCCAACTGCCCAAATTTAATAGCTTCTGTGTACTTCAAGTGTATAATTAATATGAATCCCACATATTTCTCTTTGTTACAAAGGAGACTTTCTGGGCAGCCATCCAGAAAAATTAGGCTCTCTTTTTTGATGACTTTAATAATTTATGTAGTTAAAAAAATCTTTGAACATCCTTAATTTCAAAGTGGTTTTAAACTGTTGGTATCATGTCTTCACCAAGCGGTGGCAGTTTAAGTTAAGTTAAGAGTGCAGTGTTTTAATACTTCAGAGCAGTTTGTTTTTATAAAAACATTCCACTATGGTTTGTTCACTAACATTTTAGGCCATTACATTGTTTCTCTTGTTTTAGCATGCCATATACTTATAGAGGAAATCTCTTTCCAGGGTCCATCAATATTATTATTATTATTATTATTATTATTATTAGTAATAGTAGTAGTAGTATCCCACTTTATCTCTCTATACTGAGACTCAAAGCAGCTGCTGCATACAAGCATTGATAACATTTGTTTAGTGTCATCAGACCTCCTGTTTCTTGGCAAATACAATTATTATATGTTCATATTGTGTAATGCATATCAGACAACAGCAGGGAAAAAATGTTCTTTAAATGCCGGATTGGCCAGTATGGCTCTTACAGCGTGTTGCGGTACTGAGAGAGGTAAAATTAGGATTTCACTAAAATGTTAATGCTCTATTGAGCCATATATGAATTGGAGCTTCCTGGATGACTAGTTTTAATAGAAGTTCTGGAAGTCACTGCAGAAGATTTCAGAATCTATTTAGCATTGTCACTATAGGTGTCCATGAAACTATTAACTGTAAACAGACTGTCCATTGCTCCCTAACCAGGAATTCTGAACTTTACGGATCAGTAGGCATTATTGTTACCTCACTGTAGTGTAGTGAAGACTTTGCATCCTGTCATTCAGCCCATATTTGGTTAAACTTACAACTCAAGCAGGATCATAGCCATCCTAACAGAAACGGCTTAAGTTCTTAAAATAGCAATATAAATGGGAATTGAAAATGCGGTAATGTTCCATAAATTTCACAAACTTCCGGCTGAAATAGTTTGGAGTACTCTTCTCGGGAGCTGCCCCAGACACAATATGGTAGCACTCCTTTTGGAGTCTAGACAGGCAACTGTGCTGACAGTATATTGGGACCATTGCTGCCATAAGCAGCTCTTCAGCAGAAATTTGCTGGTGACATTGCTTCTGATGAGTTTACAAGAGGGTGCTCAGCCACGTTACCAACAAGGCACTGCCAGGGAACTGCTTCTGGTCAACAAAACAGTGGTAGGTCTTTTTGATATGTGGAAACTAGATCCAGCCCAACCCAGCTTTCCGCACATCAAAAACACAAACTAATGGCTCTCCTTGGACTGGATAAACAACTGGAAGCTGCACTTTTGCTGCAGAACTAGCCATACATCATGTGGATTGTTCACAGCAGGTTTAAGGTGAGCTTGTTTTGTTTGGCCACTATAAGTAAAGGTAAAGGTTTTCCCCTGATATTAAGTCCAGTCGTATCTGACCCTGGGGGTTGGTGCTCATCTCCATTTCTAAGCCAAAGAGCCGGCATTGTCTGTAGACACATTCAAGGTCATGTGGCCGGCATGTCTATATGAAACACCATTACCTTCCCGCTGGAGCGGTACCTATTGATCTACTCACATTTGCATGTTTTCAAACTGCTAGGTTGGCAGAAGCTGGGGCTGACAGCAGAAGTTCACACCACTCCCTGGATTCGAACCTGTGACCTTTCGGTCAACAAGCTCAGCAACTCAGCAGTTTAACCAACTGCACCACCAGAGTCTCCCTGACATGGCCTTATGTGCTGTTTTGTCTTGGATCATCCCTCTTTAATAAACTATGACTAATCTGGAGATATGATAGGTTCCAAATTAAGTTTCAGAGAGGGATGGCAGCTCCTCATTTTTATCTGGAACCCTGTTTATGACATTTATTGTGAGAAACAAAGGGAAAACTGAGACATCAAAAGGTTTGTTTAGGACTGCAGCTCCCACACTTTAGCTCTCCAGATGTTTTGGATTTCAGCTCCCAGAATTCCTGACGGTTGGACAAACTAGCTGGGGTTTCTGGGAGTTTGAAGTCCAAAACAACTGGAGGACCAAAGTTTGGGAATGGTGTGGGTATAAAAAGCATTCTTACACATGCATCATAATATTGGGGAAAGCATGCTGAAAGCTACTACACCAGATAAAATGTTTCTACATGAAATATTACAAAGAAATAGTTGCCAAACTTAAATACCAAAAAACAAAGCAAAACATAAAATTACATTGCTTTTCCCAAATTCAAAAGTGCAAAATGTAGTATGAATAAATTCTTGTGTTGAATACGTAATGAAATAATAACCTTGTGAATTGCTAGGTTAGTGTTGCTCTATCCATAATTCATAGGATAATGCTTAAAACATTCTGTAGATGCTGTAACTTTTCAGTCTAAAATTGTTTTGCCTCAAAAAAAGTGGCTAAGCGATTTTACAAATTTCATTCGTATGCATATTTTCCTCCAGGGCCACATTATCATTGTGTGTGTGTGTCTGTGTGTGTGTGTGGTTACCCTTTCACCTAAATGATTTATTCTATCACCACCCTTGCAAATGCTTTCTTTCTTATATTTATGGTTTTTCATTATTACAATAATATAAAACGCTGTGTTTCTTCTTGGCAATAGGCAAGAATAACTTGTGGTCATACATTCTTGATGCTGAATGTTACAGTTATGGTGCAAAGATTCTTAATCTTTTAGCATAATGCTTTAATTGTGTGTGTGTGTGTGTGTGTGTGCATATGTGCTCCTAAGCTGTGTTAGCATGTTTTGAATTTCAGTTCTCATTATTCAAACCAGCATAGCCAACAATCAGGAATTTTGGGAGATGTAGTTCAGAAAGATTGCTGGGTTAGAGAAAGCAGGCATAGCTTATATTATCAGCATCATCATCATTGCCCTTAAAGCAGAGGTCCTCAAACTAAGGCTCGAGGGCCAAATACGGCCCTCCAAGGTCATTTACCTGGCCCTCGCTCAGGGTCAATCTAAGTCTGAAACAACGTGAAAGCACACAACAACAAAAATCCTATCTCATCAGCCAAAAGCAGACCCACACTTCCCATTGAAATACTAATAAGTTTATATTTGTTAAAATTGTTCTTCATTTTAGTTATTGTATTGTTTTTAAGTGTTTTTTGCACTACAAATAAGATTTGAGCAGTGTGCATAGGAATTCATTCTTTTTTTTTTTTCAAATTATAATTCAGCCCTCCTACAGTTTGAGGGACTGTGACCTGGCTCTCTGTTTAAAAAGTTTGAGGACCCCTGCCTTAGAGAAATTTAGCACAGTGGGTTATACGCCAGCTGCAGAAAATCTTGCCAATTGAAAGGTTGACAGTTCAAGCCTGGGTCGGGGTGAGCTCCCAGCCATCAGCAGATTGAAAACAGCAATGTGAGTGGATAAATAGGTATCACTTTAAGCAGGGAAGTAATAAAAGGTGTCCATGAGGACATTCTGTAATCCTCCCTTAGTCCCCTCAGGAAGAGAGAGCGGAATATAAATAAAATATATTATTATCATTATATATTTTTCAATGAAATCAACTAAGGTTCTTTCAGACTCCACAATTTTCCTCCTGTGACCCCTCACTTTAACTGTTGTAGCAACATCCTGAGGAATTCTGGGATTTGTAGTTTGGTGAGACACTGGAGCTCTCTGGCTGAGAACTAAACTACAAATCTCATGATTCCAAAGGCAGTTAAATTGGATTTAGAGCATCATGATTGTGTAGCATAAAAGATTTCATAGTTGTATTTAGGAATAACTTTTTACTAAATGTATATGGAGAATGGTGAAAGCAACAACTCTGATTAGGGGCTGTATTGGAAACTAAATCTACCATGAATAAGGAGAGTTGAGGAATATTTTGTTGCATAGTAATATAAAACTGAGACATAATCGAAAACTGAGAGACTACTTTGCTTCCTCTATTGTGGCAGCATATGTGCTTTTGGGGATTCTTTTTGAGGAAACAGGAGAAGGGGGCTCCCTTTTGGGAACCTCATGATGGTATATGATGCCATTTATATTTCTTCTCTTCAAAGGTGAGATAGTTTCCAGTAGAAGAAAACAATAAAACATAACTGTGAAACAAAACAAGATCAAATATTAGAATCAGGAGCAGCAGCATCACAGGGCCATAACGGTTGGAAGCCTGATTACAAATACATTAAAGAAGGGATGGTCATCAAGCTTTCTCTGCAGTTGCCATGTTACTATGTGTTTGGTTATTTTCCCTGAAATGTAGAGATTTGAGGCTGCTGTTAAGTTTGCTAAAGTACCACATCTGAAGATAGTAATTTTTATTAAGTAGCCAAAGAAAGGCATTTTAATCTGAATTTACTGTATAAATTGCCAAAGTAAGGCATTGGCTTCTAATCTACACTTATTGTATATACTGCCAATGTAAAGCATTGGCATCGAATTAGTATCTTTGCTTTTTCTCTCAGCTTATCCACAGGTCATATCAAAATCCATAGAAACCTTTGTGGTGCAATGGATTAAACTGCTGAAGGTCAGCACTTCAAATCCACTAGATGGGGTGAGCTTCTGTCTGTCAGCTCCATCTTCCCATGTGGGAACATGAGAGAAGCCTCCCACAGGATGGTAAAACATCCAGGCGTGCCCCTGGGAACGTCCTTGCAGACAGCCAATTCTCTCACCCAGAAGCGGCTTGCAGTTTGTCAAGTTGCTTCTAATATGAAAAAAATCCCATAATTTTGGCTCCAAAAATCTATGTGAGGTTGGCTTATACACAAGTATATATGGCAATTTAATTTAAAGCAAAAGTGATTACTGAGAAACTCCTTTGTCCTCAACCTTCCTCCCATCTGGCCATTACGGTCCCACCAGCTGCATTATCTTCTTACTTACAAAGCATATTTTAAAAAGCCTGCATCTGTTGGACACAGAAGTATGAGACAGGACTTTGGCTGATAATAGTTATTAGTCAAAATAAACTGAGTGAATAAATGTACATATTGAATATGCATGTTATCCATCAAAATGGAATGTATTAGGTTTGGTGATCCCTCTTTGAAAAATATCAAAAGCATGAATATTATAAGAACTTTGAAATATAAAACACATTTTCTACTTTTCCTTGTTCCCCTTGTTCTGCCTTAATATGGCAAACTCAAAACATCTTTTGAAACAAACTTGACCCTAGATCCACTTTTATATCATACAGGAAATTCTTTGATTTGTCAATTGGATTCTCTTTCTGTTTCAGATTTGGTGTTAAAAAGAAACCAATATACATCAATGTCATAAGAGATCCTATAGAACGGCTGGTTTCTTATTACTACTTCCTGCGCTTTGGTGATGATTACAGACCTGGACTCCGAAGGCGAAAACAAGGGGATAAAAAAGTAAAAGTACATCTTCGGGTCTTTGTTTTGTTTGGTTGTTTAGCTTTACTATGCAGACTATAACAGAACTATAACAGAACTTTTTATTTAAAATCAAGATCAAATTTGTTCAGCATAATAGGATGTATCCTTCCATTCACAGAAGGAAGCTTTTGTGAAAGGAAGAATGTTTCACCCAGTGGAAGAATCTGCTAGTATGTTTGTGTGCAGTGTGCAGGAGACATGAATCAAAAGCTAACTTTTTATTAGATTCCCTTTTTATCCTTTCCCATCTTCTGTTCCTTTCTGGAGTATCCCACAATCCTTTGGAGTGGGGACTTGTCGAAAATTGTTTCTACACATGCACACATACATATCCCCCTTCTGTTTGTGCTCATTCAGTTCACAAAAGGTATGCATTTAAACCATCATAACCTGTGTAACCAGGAGCCCCCAGTGGCACAGTGGGTTAAACCACTGAGCTGCTGACCGATAGGTCGATATTTCAAATCCAGGGAGCGGGGTGAGCTCCCGCTATTAGCCCCAGCTTTTGCCAACCTAGCAGTTCGAAAACATGCAAATGTGAGTAGATCAATAAGTACTGCTCCAGCGGGAAGGTAACAGCGCTCCATGCAGTCATGACCTTGGAGGTGTCTACGGACAATGGCGGCTCTTTGGCTTAGAAACGGAGATGAGCACCACCCCTCAGAGTCAGACACAACTAGACTTAGTGTCAAGGGGAAACCTTTACCTTTACCTTAACATTGGGTTACAATGATTTGTTGTACACGAACTGGGGACAGGGCAGTGATAGCATTGTGATTTAATGTTAAGGAGCTCTCTCACACATGAAATTGGCTGACATCCTCTAAATGTTAATACACCAGCCCTTGTTCAATTAGGTTTCAATCTTCAAGGCTTTACCATTATTCCCATGCAATTCACTGTACTATGAGGATAAAGACTGGCCCAATAAGCCAGTCTTTATCAGGAATGGTGTCCTAAGATATGTGCCCCCATGTTCATTGATGTACACTGGCAATATCTTGCCAGAATAATAGAATACCCACACAATTCAAGATTTGATTGGCTACTGAGCCTAGTTGTGCAAAAGATTCCAACCGTGCCAGAATCATGTCTAACAAGTGGGTTAGTATTTATCTAGTCTTCAGAATTAATGTTCAACTTTAACATGATCTTCTGAGATGGTAACATGAACCATTTTCAGTTAGAAGATAGAATCTAAGAAGCATTTAAACAATCTTTTATAAATAAAATATAATTTAAATACTTTAGAGATAGACAGTTTTCCTCTTCAGAAGTCAAATCATGGTGTGCTGCTCTGACTTGCTCTGATCATTTCAGGCCATGGGTGCAACATGCTGAGGCAACCGCAAATACCTAATGCCTGCTGCACAACATTGCTGCAATAATTGCTTTTTGATCACCAGCCGTTGCATGCCAGGAGGCGCACTGTGTGGCTTTCTGGCTTTGCATGACCTTTCTGTGGTGCCCATAAGTGGGGGCCCAAACAAGCACGATTGATGCCTGTAGGCCCATTTCTGAAAATGGGCCTCATCATCATGCATTGTGAAACCAGGCACTTGAATCCCACATTAATTCAGGAGCATAAGCACATTAAGAAGTTTGATATGCAAGATGAAAATTGATAGCTCACTCCTGAGTTTTTGTCTTTGTTCCAGACCTTTGATGAATGTGTAGCAGCTGGAGGCTCCGATTGTGCCCCTGAGAAACTCTGGCTTCAAATTCCATTCTTCTGTGGCCACAGCTCTGAATGTTGGTAAGAATATAAAGCTATCTTAAACCATGTGTCATATATGGTATGAATGTGAATTTTAAGAAATCAGAAGGTGTAGCATAGCTTCGGTTTGAGGGGGGGGATAGTTTGAAGGGGGGATAGGACTTTAACAAGAGCATTATGTGGTCCTACAAGAACATTATGTTATATGTTGCATGGAGCATGAACCATTTCCAGACTAAACCTTTTGAAACTCAGGTGTTAGTGACTGGGCCACGTGAATAAAAGCTGCTTTTTAGAAGGGATTTTTCCCCTATGCAGATAGTTAATACTGTAAACAGGGGGGAAATATAAAAAGGCAAAAGCTATAGCCCCTTTTATTTCTAACTACAGAAATAGCATTTACATCTGTTACAATTGATGGACACATGTGTGTCCATCACAATTGAACCAATTCTTTCCTGAATGTTCTCAGGAAATTGAAGTTTAGAAGTTGCGTTGTCATATGCAGTAGTAGTTGAGGTCATATCTTTTCACACTTCAGTTGATGATTAAAAAGGAATGAGAAAAAAGAGTGAGATTTTAAAAATTAAAATAATACTTCCCATAACACATTGTGCTTGAAAACCACTTGAAGTAGGACAAATTTCCCGTACTACACTTCTGCATAGGAGATAAATGTGCAAATGGATGATTCAAACAATAAATAGTTATTGACAGAAAGCAGGAACAAGTGCTGGTAAAATACAAAATGTTATATAAATACTTAACCTTTCTACAAACCCGAAATCCCACTCCTTGTTTCTCTTCTTACCAAGCAGTCTTGCCCCAATGCAAATAATACTTCGTATGTTACTGAAGATTTGTGCGCGGTTGAAATGTGTATTTTTTCCTTTTTATGCAGTGTCTAAGATATTACTGAAATTTTAGACGCAAAACCTTCCACGTTGAATTATTGCATTAAAATACTTGAAAAAGGCATTAGTGTTATCAAGACATTAGAAATCAGAGCCATAAATCTTTTGACATCTAACCTAGGCAATGAAGAGAGCAAAAAGTGGGAAACAAGGAAAAAAGGAAAGGAAATTAAAAATGTGTGTGGCTGAAACTTTGTTTTCTTGCCTGTGCAAAGATAACAGCCAAGCCATTCTTTTAGCCTGGTGTGAGAATATCTAAATGAAGGGAACCAAAATTCTTGGCAGACATCAAAACCTTCCTGTAATTACTTTTTATCGTTTTAGGAATGTGGGAAGCAGATGGGCTTTGGAACAAGCCAAATACAACTTGATTAATGAATATTTCCTAGTGGGAGTTACTGAAGAGCTTGAAGACTTTATTATGTTGCTGGAGGCAGCTTTGCCCCGCTTTTTCAGGGGTGCTACAGAATTATATCGCACAGGTATTTAAGTTGCTGCAAACTTGGCCACCTTTCATCTTTTTAAATCTTTACTCCTTAGTACTGTGTGGGCGACTTGTGGCATTCTAGACGTTGTTGAACTGCAGCTCCTGTTATCCCTCACCACGAACTATACTTCTTGGGTTCTTGGGACTTGCAATCTTAACAACATCTGCAGAACCACAAGTTGCCTATTCTTACAAGAATGAATGTTTTTCTAAGACTGTGGTCCTTGGGGAGAAAAGATGCAGAGATAATTGCATTGGCTGCTTCATCCTTTGGTATTTGGCAGTACATGTGTGGTTTTGTCCTCTGTTTTTCTCTCTGCTTAGAGCTGAGAAAATAAACAGTTCTGTCATGGCCTTGTTGGGCTCAGATTCACAGCATTGTGAGCATAGCTTGAAAGTACTACTTACAGTTCCTACTTGCTTTTAGATACATTCTCATAATAGCTATTTCAAACCCCTCGGTGGTGCAGTGGGTTAACCCGCTGAGCTTGTTGACCGAAAGTTCACAAGTTTGAATCCAGGGAGCGGCATGAGCTTCCACTGTCATCCTCAGTTTCTGCCCATCTAGCAGTTCGAAAACATACAAATGTGAGTAGATCAATAGGTACCACTCCGGCGGGAAGGTAATGGAGCTCCATGCAGTCATGCCAGCCACATGACCTTGGAGGTGTCTACGGACAATACCAGCTCTTCGGCTTAGAAATGAAGATGAGCACCAACTCCCAGAGTCGGACACGGCTGGACTTAATATCAGGGTACAACCTTTACCTTATTTGCTTTTTCATTGGTAACTACTTAAAATAGTTACTAAAATAATTATTTTTAAAAGATAGATTAGTTACTTTTAAAACTCAATGCAGTAACGTTGCTGTGATGATACCAAACACACTCCTCTTCTGTCCACTTCGTTATTATCTCAATGCCATAACAGAAGAAGTATGCATAGCATGAACCATATTTGTTCTTTTATCATTTATATAAGTAACATAACTGTTCCAGTTAGCATAGTAAATAAATCAAGTTATTTCTTGCTAAATTGCAGTCATGGTGAACACTGTCATCACTAGAAAACAGATTTAATTCCAAATTTGTGGCTAGTTATTCCCAAGATTTATTTCTGAGATGGAACTATGGTCATTTAGTGAACAATTCGCTCTGTGGGTTACTAAGTGGAAGGAGATTAGCAAGTAAGTCAAATGCAACTCTGTCAAAGAGTTTGGAGGTCAGATAGGATTTATCAGCCAAACATTCTGAATATCAACTACGTATTTCAATTATCAGTGATATGTTCTTCCCTTGACAAATCTGCAGGTAGCCTTTTGCAAGCTTCTTTATTGTATATTTTGGATCAGCATCCAAAATAAAGCAGGTATAGCAGTAGAACTACTTCCTCTCTAGATCGTTGTTTTTTTTATTATTTATGCTAAAGAGTGCTGGAACCTTAAGAAGCTGTTTGAGAGAGGAAAGGTATATGCTCTACGAATCTATACTGTAAGCACATTGTTAATGGTATATGTGTACAATAAATGGCCCGGATGTCTTGCTTCCTCACATGCTGTGAATTCTGTGAAACAAATTGCCCAATTGTTATGTGGTCTTTGGTTTTATTAACTTGATTATCAATAGTAGTGAATTTCCAAATAGGCATTAATCATGATTGAAAGAGGTGCTGTAAATGGATGTGATGAGGAAATGCAGTTCCGTGTGCAAACACTTCCGCTTTATGGTTTCAGTAATTAAGCCATTTAAACAGTGGGAGGAATGTGCATGGCGAGAGCACACTAATGCACATGCATTTATGCTTAGCACGGGGTTTCCAGTCTCTCCAACCCAAAGGCTTAATCAATCTTGGTCCAAGTTATGACACTTTCTGTACCCATTTAGTAACCTGCTGACTAAAGAGTACTCTTCCACACCAATTTTCTGATCTGTGTTGTGTCCTTCTGGGAATATTCTGGCTGTAAATCAAAGTGAAATTACAACTGTATGTATTTTGCTTTTAGGCAAGAAGTCTCATCTTAGAAAGACAACAGAGAAAAAGCTTCCTACAAAAGAAACCATTGCTAAGCTGCAACAGTCTGAAATATGGAAAATGGAGAATGAGTTCTATGAATTTGCACTGGAGCAATTCCAGTTTGTCAGAGCGCATGCAGTTCGGGAAAAAGACGGGGAACTATATATCCTGGCACAAAACTTTTTCTATGAAAAGATCTATCCTAAATCGAACTAAGAACAATGCTTCTCTTTAGGTTAAGGGACTAAACCTTGTGGCCACATCCTTATTCTCACCCCCAACTCCTAAATCAGCTGAGGCACTTCGTTCTTGAGGTCAATAGAATGTACTGTGGGTTGCTCAAAGAAGATGGCTGCTGTTCAGATAATGGTGATAATTCAAAATTATAGGCTTCAGTTTTAATATTCACACAGGAGGTTGCTACTCTACACTTGAAGAACCCACCCATAATTACAGAAACTTTATAGCAATTATAGCTGAAACTGTAAAGATGAAAACCTTCATTTTCGTGCTTTTTGATTCACAAGACAACTTATTTTACTTAACCTTTTGGGAAGAGGACGCTTTTGGTTCCCTAGCCTCAAAGCGGAGATTTGGGTTGTACACATATATGAATAATGTTAATAACTGGCTGAAATTTGTGCTTTGTTCTTGTAAATTCATATCACATAACATTCACTGGAATGTTCAATCATGTTCTGCTAAGAAATGCTGCAGCTGGTCTTGCCCATATTTGTAAATATGGGCTTTCATTTTGAGAATCTAGAACTGATGATCAGAGTGTTTAAAAATTCAGATCCCATAGTGATGTTGTCAAAAGGCCAGAAATGAAGACAGTTTTTCATTACTACCCTCTGAACGTCTAACTGATGTTGGGAAAACTATTTAAGAAGCTGGCTTTTGCCTGGCACATCAATATAAAAACAAATAGTGAAATCTGTCTCATTGTTCCATTGATTCTTTGTATTTTAAATAACTACTGGTGAATCCATATTATGACTCAAATAGTGAGCTGTGGTATGGTTAGGGTTTTCCTACTTAGATACTTTTACCTGTAGAATATTTTTACTAAGGTGCTTTATAATGTGTTTTAAAGCATTGCATTTGCAAAAAGAGTGAAATGCTGTAAATAATGCACATTTTATGTATTTGGACCAAAAGGTTACAAGTAATAGTTTCAAGTGTTTTGCACCCGTTTTGTTGTATGTGAAGTAAAATCAACCCATCTGCTGTTAAAATTCCAGTTTTGAGTTAACCCCTCAACATTGCTGAAATGCACTTCACTGACCTCAACAACTTTTAAATACACAGGAGCCCCCTTTTCAGAAAACTTCATAATCTGCATCCTTTTATCATGCTTTAAAGGAAAAGGAAAACGGAAGCATGCAGCCTGGCTAAGAGAGATACAAAGAAATTGACGTCAGTGTGTTCATGGAACTGCCTTATGTTAACTTCAGTAAACTTGCATTTGCCAGGATTAGCACCTTATGGTACTTACATACTCGAGGTTGTTTGGCACTAGGTTGGATACTGGGATACAACAAAATCTGTGAAAAATACTTAAAAGTTCTTTGTACATTTCTGCCATATTTTTTAAAGTGTATTAAAGTTTGATGGGTTGTTTTCAGTTTCATTAAATTCAGCCTTTGAGCTTCACATTTTATCGAGATAGAAAGGCAGTGTAGATGTATTGATAAGGAAACCTTACCAAATCATTTATCTACTATACAATTACAAAGAGGTCAACTGTCTATAAACCAAACATTTTAATGCCAAAAGCATGGTCTATTATAATGAGACTGTTAAGTAAAACTTTTAATTTGCTGAATTCTTTATTTGGGCATCTCCTGAGAGATCTAAAAAATAGTACTGCTTTTTCAAGTAGTTTCTTCTTTTCGGTTAGCAGCCATTACCTTTGTTCTTCTGCTGTATTACCATGAGCCAGTGTGTTGTGTTGTGTAGCCACGTTGCCCCAGATGAACGAGTACAGGAAAACGAAATAAACTTTTATTGGACCAACTGGCTACTTAAACTATAACAGGCTTGTCAGCTAGTACGTTCAGCCTCAGGTGTTGCTGCATAGAGCACAACTTAAATCTTGATGGTTGAGGGCTAATGGCTATGCATTGAGCCAGTCTGAATCGATCAGAATTTGAGTTTGTACCTCCATAATGAGAGGCAGCGTAGCATGGCATGAGTTCTTGGCAACATAAATACTCAAAGCGCTATTGTGGAAATGATTTCCGAAGCTTTAGTATGCATCCTATGAGTTAATGCCACAATACATGACTTCATGGGGTAGTTTGACTGCCGTTTCTGGCAAAATCTCCACTATGTGGACATGCTTGCAAAGTGAACCTGTGTAAATTAATTGCAGTTTAGATATATCGCGTCAATCATTCAGGTTTATTTTAAATATTCAGGCAGCAATTGTGTGCACAGTTATCTAAGACAAGCCTTTTGGCTACAGTAAGCTTGAGTCCTGTGTAAATATCTATAGGAATGCACTGGTACATTATGAAAAAACTGGGCAGCAAGTGGATAAAACAAATAGAAAGGCACTTTCATAATTCCCAAAGTGCTCTAGCACATGCTGCTCATACTTTTAGCTTAATTCTAACTCATGGCTGGAATTTCTTGGATTGTATTCAGCTGTAAGAGACAGTATTACCAGATACCATTACTGTTCAGTATAGATAATGTGTCTGGTGATTGTTTGGATCTTCCAAATTGGAAAACTGTAGAACTGTAGAAACAATTATAAAAATATTGAAAGAAAAGCAGAGTTATATGGTACCTTGATGTATATGTTATGGTAGACACATTTGTGGACTAGCAGCCACTTCATCAGGTTTGTGTAGTAATATTTTAATTATAAATTAGGCCAAAATTAGAAGTGTTGCATTGCATTGTAATGAAAGAAAAATAGTGTTTTGAGGAAAATTCCCCCTCTATCCTCTTCAACAAATAACTGTACTTTATTCTGACATGCTTTGCATGAGGCACTTGCAAGTTGTTTTTAAAGAGAGCACTCACAGAGGTGTTCAAGTTCACAACATGAAATGCAAGCATTTAAGTTGTTACAATACACTAGAAAGTTTACAGAAGTAACTGGAAATGTTACTGACATTATCGGCTCATTTTAACATTATTAAAAGATTTTACATAGGAATTGTTTACTCAAGGATGTCTTAGGCTCATTATGTATGGCGTTGGCAGTGCAAATGCAAAAATAGTCTAAAATTTGTAATAACTGTAAAGAAAATAGTCATTGGACATCGCAACAAGAGCAGTGGTTCTCAACCTGTGGGTCCCCAGAAGTTTTGACCTTCAACTCCTAGAAATCCTAACAGCTGGTAAACTGGCTGGGATTTCTGGGAGTTGTAGGCCAAAACACCCGGGGACCCACAGGTTGAGAACCACTGTTCAAGAGCATTTTGGTTTATCAACATACTGGATGGTGTCAGCTAAATGTGATCTTGCTCGTAGGGTGTGCTTATTGTGAAGCTCTCTGGCTTGGGTCTCCCTGACAAACCAGAGAATGAATCTTACATTTATTGTGTTGATAATTCCCAGCCTTGTCAAGAAGAAAACAGACTGGCTTCCTGTTGGATTGATAGGGGTTTTCAGGCAGCACACTGCTCATCCTTGATAAACTATGTTTAATGTGGAGCCCAGACATATAGTATTTGAATGTGGCCTGTATTTGAATCTTAATGCAAAAAGAAAGGCTAACCAGGGCATATATATCTTTGGTATACGACACTTTTTTTTTTTTTACATCCACATGGCCAAAACACACTAGTCTTTGCTACAGATGTTTATTTATCTCTTGTTCCCCAAATCACCTCCATTATTCTAGAATATTTCAAGTGCAGTTCAACGTTCATAAAACTTTTTCCTGAGACAGGGGTGGGGTGGGGATATATTATATATATATATATATATATATATATGTATGTATGTATGTATATGTATATGTATATATATATATATATATATTGCAAACTGTTCACGATAATAGGTTTGTTGTTTGGCTCCTTCTTAAAATCTACACTGTACCCCAAATGATTGTTTTGCTTTAAAACATACTTTTAAAAGTTCAAGAATTAACAAAACTCTTCCTCCCCTTTAAAGTTAGCACAGAAAGCAGAAACTTCCCTTCCTCCAAAAGCAGGATAATGCATCCAAAAAAAGCTCGGATGGATTTTCCACCCAACTTGGTTCTAAATAATTTGAAAACCTATTTCCTGAATAAGTATTTCTAATATAAGAAATTGGCTGCAGTTGAAGCTAAGTATGCACAGCCGCTCTGCTAGAACACAGAATTGATTTAATTACAGTACCAAACTATGAATTCTGTCTCAGACACATAAGCTGTCGTTTCTCTCTTCTCCCACTTTCCCTGACAATCTCTGAATGCTATCCCAAACAGTGGTTTCAAACAGCATCCCAAATGACACCAACTTTGTGTTACTTCTGAAATGATAAGCTGTGAAGTGAAAAACTTGTTAGAATATTGTTTTGTCAGCTATCTCGTAAACGAGCTTCAAGCTGTGGTTTTAGATCCTTGATTGTGGCTTTCTTGCAAATAATGTGTGTTTGGGGCCAAATCAAAATATCACAAGAAGCCATCATTTGTTGATCTAACTTTTTCAGGAGGACTTTTTTTTCTTTGCTTTCACATTATTTTACGTGGCAAGTCCAATCTTAATTTTAGAAGTCCTCCATAAAATACAATCAATTGACAAAATTAAGAACTTCCTTTCTCCTGAATAGGGGCATAAATATTCTTTATTCAGGTGAAACATTTTGGGAATAGAATAGACTTAATTCAATTATTCAAAACTATGAATATTCTCTTCTGAATGCAGCTGTTAAAGTTCTGGTTGTGAATTTGTGTGAAAAGGTACACAAGGAAAGCCAATGCTGGCAAAATGCACAAAAGCTGCAAAATACATTCCTAGCTTAGCAGTAATCCCTACTTTACTTCCAAATCCAATAGCACATACTGAGCTAGGTCTTAGCAACAGGGGGCACTGTTTCACCAGCAGTAAACCTGCATGAAGTTTGCATTGAATAATAGGTATTCTTGAAAAAACGAAGTCCCCAGATCTATTGATAATTAGGGTGTAAGATTAATCATACTGCTTTTTTTTTTAAAAAAAATGCCTGCATTGAAAAAGTGCAGTTAGTAGGCTTCAACAGAGGTGGGAAAGCACTGCCCTCAATCTAAATTCAAAAGCTTTCTAAAAATGATCTGTTTGGACCTCTGGCAAGAGCAGTCTGCCTAATACCTACCGCATTGGGAAGATGAAGAGGAGTGATATGAAAAAGAAGGAATCCGGAAGATAGGGAAGAACGAAAGTGATAAAACTGGGTTGTTGCGAGTTTTCCAGGCTGTAAGATCATGTTCCAGAAGCATTCTCTCCTGACGTTTCACCCACATCTATAGCAGGCATCCTCAGGCGTTGTGAGGTCTGTTGGAAACTAGGCAAGTGAGGTTTATATATCTGTGGAATGTCCAGGGTGCAAGAAAGAACTTTTGCCTGTTGGAGGGAGGTGTGAATGTTCTAATTGGCCACCTTGATTAGCATTTAATGGCCTTGTAGCTTCAAAGCCTGGCTGCTTCTTGCCTGGGAGAATCCCTTGTTGGGAGTGTTAACTGCCCCTTATTGTTTCCTGTCTCGAATTCTCCTGTTTTTTTTTTTTTAGTGTTGCTCTTTATTTATTGTCCTGATTTTAGAGTGTTTTTTTTTTTTAAAATGCTGGTAGCCAGATTTTTTTCATTTTCATGGTTTCCTCCTTTCTGTTGGAATTGTCCACATGGTTGTGGATTTCAATGGCTTCTCTGTGTAGTCTGACATGGCATCCTCAGAGGTTGTTAGAGTTGGTCCAGCATTTCTGTGTTCTCAAATAATATGCTGTGTCCAGGCTGGTTCATCAGGGGCTCTGCTATGGCTGACTTCCCTGGTTGAAGTAGTCTGCAGTGCCTTTCGTATTCCTTGATTTGTGTTTGGTGGTTCCTATGTAGACTTGTCCACCATTGCATTTTCTTAGTAGGTCATGTGGACAATTTCTATGGATGCCTGCCATAGATGTGGGTGAAATGTCAGGAGAGACTGCTTCTGGAACATGGCCATACGGCTTGGAAAACTCACAACTACCCAGTGATTCCGGCTGTGAAAGCCTTTGACAACAAAAAGTGATAAAAGTTTGGCTGTGGCCTCATCAACCGCCAGCATCAGTCCCACCCTGGCATGTAGACCCTGACTAAAGAAACCTGAGCTTCTTTTTAGGGTGAGGGTGAGTTGGGGAGACACTCCATTTTTATATATCTTGCAAAGAAAAGTATTCATATTGTTTACCTAGCTGTAAAAATCTTCTTATTCAAAATCTTCATTATGTAATAAGTATTTTCTCTGATCCAGTGAATTATTACTGATGTAAGTGCTGCTCATCGTACTTGAGATATTTATAAGGACATACATCATTGAGCATATAGGTTCTTGCCTTCATTAAAATAAATGAGAAGCTTACATGTGCAAGTTCACTCTGGCTGCGAAACTGGGAAATAAGTATGTTGATTGTATATTACTGAATTTCTCTTATTTCTGGTATCAGTCTATATTTTAGAGTAAGGAACTGGAAAAACCACCTCTGAGTATTTCTTGGCTAAGAAACCCCTTTGGTACACTAATCTGCATTATTTTTGAGCAGTTCCAGCATTCTGTTGTGTATATACCCCAAATATAATCCCACTTCAGTCATTCTAACGCAATCTTTTTAGAATGGTCAGTGTTTAGATCTTTTGTTTAGTGCCTTTAGATCTTTTGTTCCACATATTCTGAAAATACTTTACAAAGCACTCAATCTAAATATTTGTTGCATATTCTGATTACTGGAACCTTTCTGGAAGCACTAAACATGCAGAGCTTTGTCCAAATAATAGTTTCTGATCGAAACCAGGACTGATACATAAAATGTCAGCATTTCTACAAATACATGCTTGTATATTA